GGAGGGGCATTGATTCGTAGCAGAAAAAATGAAATTTAATTAAAATTTACGGGGATTGTTTCAGCGTTGAACCGGTTGAAATAGTGTCAGTTGATGGTTCAAGGCAAGAATACCCGGTATGTTTCTTTTTTCGGAATTCTTGTAAAGTCAGATGATTCTAAACGGATTGTGTTTTGATAAGCTTTGGCATTGAAAAGGATCAAGGGCACGATAGAATCTCCTCATTTCATACATTTTCCTTGAGAGATGGAGAAGCTCGGACCTTGTCATGTGATTCGGGTGGTGCCTGAGGGATTTCATCCTTTAGCAGTAGTGGTGTAGGTGATTGGCTTCTTTTACTGTGCGTTTGTGTCGCATAAAAGGGCTGCGGCTGTAAAAATTTTAAAAAATTTTAGGACTTGCGCGAAAGATCGATGACTGTGAGCGCTGCGAACATCAAACAAAGAATCGGTGTGGATTTGAAAGCGGACGAAATTTGCGAGTTGCTGAACAGAATGTCATTAAGGGCAAACCTCAAACAAGGAGATAAGACCCGTGATGCGGTGGAAGTATGTTTTTTTCTTTTTAAATTACTAGAGTTTGGTGCAAAAATAAAGCGCAGAAAAGCGGAAAGGGCCAATGTACACGCTTTTTTTTTGCAGGCGTCATTTCCAGTTATTGGGCGAGGCAAAATTGACACATGAGTAGAGATGAGATCAGTTCATTGGGGAAATGTTTCATGCAAAATCTGCCACTTGCTTCAGGTTCAAATCCCGATAACACGAGCCGATATACTGCACGAATGTGACGTAGCCGAGGATGTCGCAATCGCGTATGGATTCAATCGAATCGAACAGCAGTTCCCGAAAGCGAATACGATCGGCGAACCATTTGCTTTGAATAAGCTAACTGATCTGCTCAGATATGACATTGCTGCTGCTGGCTGGACCGAGACACTCAATTTTGCATTGGTCTGTGTTGGCTTCTGAAAACTCATTTCTTGCGCTACAAACTTTAATTTTTTGTGCTACACTATGCTGCATCGAATACGTGGTACTTTTGTTGCAACTGTCACATTGACGAGGTCCAGTTACAGCACTGAATGGGAATGTTTGCGACTTAATGAACCGAAATATACAAATTCATTTTTGATTTTAATTATTGCTTTCCCTCTGGTTATAACTTTTTTCATAATTTCACGAAATATTCGAATTATTACAGAAAATAGAAAATTTATGACTGTAGAAAAGTAGTGCGATCACAGACTGTACAGTACACAATTGCTTCTTAGGCTTCCTATAACCGACCCATAGCCACGGACTTCGACCTAAAATTCACTTAGGATCGTCTCGATATTGTGTTTTTGAGCTACCGTATCAAGATTATCAAGATTCACCTATAATGAAGAGTATCAAGATTCACCTATAATAGTAGCTTTGGAGCTTTTGTGCCCGCTTTCACAGTTTCGAGAAATTGATAAATATGCCAGTTTAGTTTGTGCGATGAATCGGTGTTCATCAGTAATTTTCAGTGCAGCCGCGACGATATCTCAGTGAAGTTGAAAAAACCCGATAATCTCAAAAAAGCCGTTAAAATATCAAATCCGAAAACACTCGAATTTCAGGTAAATAACAATTTAATTAATGGTTGACACTTTTTGAAACTGTCATTAAAAAGAGTGTGAAAATATCATTAAGCTGAAATTGAATTTTTAGGTTGCCAGGACAACGTTATTACCTGGTTTACTGAAAACACTTGCGTCAAATAGAGATATGCCTTTACCGTTGCGATTATTCGAAATACAGGATGTGGTATTGAAAGATTCGACCTCAGGTATTATCATTCGCTTTTTCTTGCAGAATTGCTTTAATTTTCACGAAATCTGCATTATGTAACGATATGTGTTATTTGCTGTAACATCCGTCTTTTTTTCGCGGATTTTGCACTGTCGTCTAGTGGTGATTTCACCACGCTATTGCTATTCAGCGCTTGGTCTCTTTGCAGTTGGAATCTGAAAAAATCAGGGAGACGGGAAATTACTGGAAACTTCAGCGTTAGTTATTGGTTATAAAAAAGCCAATATCTAATTT